CCCCGACCCCGCACCCGTCCCACCCCCGACCCCGCGTCCGCTTCACCCCTGACCCGGCGACCGGTTCACGCCCGGTCCACCCCCCCCCCGCGTGGAATCGGGGCGGAGCCGGCGGCGGAGCCCGGGAGGCTCGTCCCCGAAACCGGGGCTCTCAGTGCCTCCCGGGCCGACTGAGGTTCAGACGCCGCCGGCAGCCCCCACCCCCAGCCTCCGGCCTCGCTGGGACCGGGACCGAGGTAAGCCCCCGCCCGGCGCTCCCGCAGGTCCCGGTCCGGCCCGTGGCGCAGGACCCGCATTTCCCCGCCGGCTCCGTCGGAGGCGGGAGACCCCGGGCGCCCGAGCGCCGGCCCGCGGTGTCCGGCCGAGTTCGGACGTCTTCCTGGACCGGAGAAGGGACCGCGTTCATTCATCCACGGTAGACTAGAGCCGGAAGCTAGAAAGCGCCGCGTCTTAGGAGGAAGTAGGAGTCGGTCCCTGCAGTCCAGGGAAACTGCTGGAAGCTCTGAGGAGGCGACTCTGCCCTTCAGAGCGGTTCAGAGCCTGTCCTAGCTGCAGAGGATCCGTTCAAACCGGCCAGGCCGGGGCATGAGACCCGAGGAAAGTAGAGTGCCAGCCGTGAGCAGGATCCCTGGATTCGAACCTCAGGACTCACATACACCATGTAATCCAGTGGGAAAAAAATTGCCTTATTAAGTAGATTGTTTGAAATATCCGAGGCTGCTTTGTGGGTAATGGTGCCTTCTTGCTGCTGTCTCTGCCAGCCTCATTAGCTGAGGAGCTGCCCTGGAGGGAAATGTCCTGGAAGGGGGGAGGGGGAGGGGGAGGGGGCTCATCCAAGTGTGCTTCCCTCAGCTCAGGCCAGAAGTGCCGCCCCTGTCCCCAGGGGGTTAGTGCTGGTGTCTGCTGGGCTGGGCCCAAGCTGCTGATGGTAACTGTGGAGACACTACCGCCTGATCCCTTTCCCTGAAAGGGACACCTTTCCAGGGAGCCTCTAAACTGAGACACCTCCTCTAGGTGTTTAAGCCTTGCACCAAAACCAAGTAGCTCAAGTGAGCTGTCCTGTGAGGTCCTTGTCCCCAGGGCGGAGGAAGTGTGGGGAAGTGGAGGAGCTGCCTGGGGCACTGGACGACCTGGGATTTGCTCCTGGGTGGAGTCCCACCGGCCTCCTTGGGTCTCTCCTTCTGTGTACTGAAGGTTGGGGCCAGTTCCTCCTGGTAGTCAGGATCTGGCAGGGCTCTTCATCACTGTCCCTCACCTGGGCCTTGAGCCCTTCGGGTTCAGGGTCAGGTGCTGCCGGGTCTGGAGGAAAAGGGACCTGGCAGAGCAGAGCTCTGTAGACTGCATTGTGAAACCAGTGTGCCCATGTTTTGTTTTGTTTTATTCCCAGACCTGGGGCTTGAGTTCTGGGCGTGGGCACTATCTCTGAGCCTATGTGCACAAGGGTAGCCTTTTACCACTTGTCCCTCATCACCACTTCCGGCTTTTTCTGATTAGTTTGTTGGCGATAAGAGTCTCACAGGCTTTCCTGCCCAGGCCAGCATCAAACTGATCCTCAGCTCTCAGCCTCCTAAGTAGCTAGGATTACTGGCCTGAGCCACCAGCACCCGGCAGTGTGTCCATCTTTACTTTACCTGAGAATTTACAGCACTGTACTTCTGTTTTACTTAGAAGTGCTATCATGTTGCAGCTTTATTTGACAAAGAAATTTGACTCTGAATATTTGGGTGTTGGTTTTTTTCAGGCTTTGCGCAATTGAATCCAAACCCTTCAACCAGTCATTGCCACTGAATTGTTCCATTTTGAACATTCTTTTAGCCAAAACGTCATTTAAATGAAGAGATTTGAGCCAAAGTGGTTCTGGAGATTAGTAATGATTTATTTAATCAAGTTTTATCGTGTTTGCTCAGGATTGGGAAGGGCAGGGCCCAGTCACCTGCAGCCCTGCCCACTGTCCAGTTTCTAGGCTGACAGCCCAGCCCGGCTAGTACTGACTGAGCTTTTGTTTGGTGTGGGCTTTTCGGGGATCCTGTTTCTATAACAATGTTGGTGTCATCAGACCATCGTGATGTCATCTAGAGGACTGTACTCATTTTTCTCCACCTATCAAAGGATTAAAAGACAGGAAAGTATTTAAACAGTAAGGTTATTTGAAAGTGAAAGGAGAGTCATGAAAGAAAGGCCAAACCTCCTGTCCAGGTGGAGGGCACAGAAGCCTGGCTCCTCTGGAGGGTGGCTGGTAGTGCAGGTTCCTCCCACTTTTCCCCTAGCTTTGCTCTGATTGCTTGATGGTTTGTGCATGCCCCACCCTGGCTCTTTCCATTGGCCGAGCAGGACCCAGGGCATTATGGGAAGGAGCATTTGAACAGGAGCTCCAGGCGCTATGGGAACAAGCAGTACTGCGATGTGCTACGCGGTGTCTGCCATGTGCTACGCGGTGTCTGCCATGTGCTACGCGGTGTCTGCCATGTGCTACGCGGTGTCTGCCA